CATGGATTACTTATAGGCGCCATATACGTAGACTCGATCAGTTTCATATGAGATGTCTACGGGTTATCGCTAACGTTAAATGGGAGGATAGGGTGCCAAATACGACTGTATTGGAAATGTGAGGTATCTTGGGTATCGAGGCATTTTTGTTACAGGCACAGTTTCGTTGGGCGGGACACGTTATCCGCATGCCGGACACAAGAATTCCCAAACAGGTGTTTTTCGGACAGCTGGCTTCTGGAGTTCGCCTTGCAAGCGGTCCAGTTCGCAGATTTAAAGATAATCTGAAAGAAAACCTAAAAAAAGTCGGACTGGATTCTAAAACCTTGGGTGTCGTTGCGCTCTAGCGTTCACAGTGGAAGACACGCTCACAAGCGGCAGTTTCCGTCTTTGAGGAGGCGCGCATTGCAGCTCTAGTTGGAAAAAGAGGACGGCGTAAGCAGGTGGGCCGGGAGGGTAACAGCACAGGGGTGTGGGTTTGCGGATCCTGTGGTCGTCGATGTTCATCAAGAATAGGCTTGTTCTCGCATCAAAGGACTCATCAATGACACAATTCGTCGAACGCGACGATGTATTCCACATGTATGTATGTATGTATGTATGTGTGTGTGTATGTATGTATGTGTGTGTGTAGGTAAGTATGTGTCTATTGCTTAATCGCCCAATATCCTCTCTGACGCTGGCATAACTATAATTTAGTTTAGCTAAATTCGTAGGTCAATGTGTCCAACATCGCTGAAGTAAATAGTTACAGACGAAAGGTATAGCGGCGCGGCGAGCTACAGAAAAAGCTGCATTTGGCATTATCAACATGCTGTCATCATCATTATCATCATCGTCATCATTATCTTTTTTTTCATCAGCATCCTCATCATTATCATCGTCATCATCGTGAAAGTTATTTTTGTTACTATGGCCCCCATCAATCAATCCGTCAACTTTTGTATTATCTGCATTCTATCGACCTTTCAACTTCTGCAGAAATCATCACTTTCTTCATCTTCGCCATTGAAAATAATAATAATTATTATTATAATGATAAAAAAGATGAATAGGTGAATCATTAGCCTATATCTAAAATAAAACGTTATAATGCTATAAAACGAAAAAATGATAGAAAATATCGGGCTGTTCGGAAAGTAATTTCGTTTTTTTTTCGTGACGAAAATGAAAGACGATTTCGTATAATGAATAAATATTTAATTAAGTTATATGTTGGCCATTCTGCTCCATTACCATCTTTCTGATAGTAGCATGATTCCACGATAAAATTTTTGGTCTTCGATGGCAAAAAACTGATTCAGGTGATTTTTGACGTGTTCAATTGAGGTAAAGGTTTTACCGTCCAAAAAATTTTGCAGTGACCGGAACAAACAATAATCCGAAGGGGCCAGGTCTGGAAAATATGGTGGGTGTGGGTTAGGGTTAGTGACCAAACTTGTATGACGTCTCGCATTATCTTAGTGGAAAACTACTTCTGTTGATCAATTCTGGCCTTTTCTGTTGAAGTGCATCATTCAGTTTGTCCAGCTGGTGACAGTAGATTTTTGAATTGATTGTTGTGTTATCCGGTGAAAGCTCAGAAAAGTGACTCCCTTAAAAGCCCACCAAACAGACAGCATCACCTTTTTTGATGGATACTGGCTTTTGAAATGCTTTGAGCCGGCTCATCTTTTCTGCTCTATGATCTTTTGCGTTTGACCCATTTTTCGTCCCTAGTAATAATACGCTTCAAAAATGGATTATTTTCGTGACGTTTGAGAAGTGAAGCACAGACGTCAACGCGACGACACAAATTTCTCTCCGTGAGGACATGGGGGGCCCATATATCGAGCTTCGAAGTTAAGCCCAGGCCTTTCAGGTGGTCATAAACAGTTAAATTCAATAAATTTAACCGAAAATTTTAAAAAAACAAAATTACTTTCTGAATAATATAATACTATCGAACCCATGCAAAACTCACATGGAACCACAAGATAAGTAAAAATAGAACGACAGAACGACATATCATTGTATAAATCGATCCAAACCAATTGCACATTTCAAAACAAAATTAAGGAAAGTAAAAAATATGTTTTTAATAAAGGAAAAATGTAAAATCAATAAACAACGAGCACTTTTAAGCTCATACCAAAATTTAAAAGGAAATCCATCCAACATTCTTCCATTCCACAAACCCACCACTATGATGCTGGGATAATTTTTTTTTAGATTTTTTCGGTTGTTTGAACTTTAAACCGTAACGTCTTGTTTTTCATCCTTATGCTCCACAAAAAGATGGAGACTAGCATCAATAAAGCTGGACATTATTTTGAACACATCGCTCCTGTTTCTGAAATGTTAACGTTGGGAGATCCAAGTGTTTTAACTTGTTCTCAAAGTTCATGCCAGCACATGCTTTCACTACCTTCGTAGCCCTTGTCTGGACCTTCGCCTTATCTTTGACCTTTCTAACAGTCCAAACACTAACTGCATAGCATACTCCATTTGTGACCGGACCAATGTATTTTACAGAGTTGTAAAAAAGAAGCTGTATCCTATTCATCTGGAAAGATTTCGCATTTAATAAACGTGTTAAAGAAGAAATGTAAGAAATTGGATACAGAAAAACAACACCCAAAAAATCAACACCAAAAATATTATTATGCGAAACATCGATCTTTTATAACTTTTGTCATAGATTTATTCTCTGCCATCATCAATCTTTCTTTCCTCACCACCAACTAACTTCTCATCATTAACACTGCTATTCACATTACGTTGTCATACCTCATTATCTCCTTCTTCATCATTAACCCCTACATTATCACCAGCTACGAAATCACCATCATCTTCATCACTATATCATTATTTTAAGCTAAATTATTACCATTATCATATTTCTTTGCACCACTGTAGGGTCAGCTACGTCATCGTTATCATGATCATCCTCGTTATAATTTACGATGTCATCTATCATTCTGACCATCATCTATATCATCATTGTATTCCTATTTATTACTGATCATCCTGCTTTTTATTAAAGTTGATGCCATTCTTGCCACCGGTATGAACATATTATCATAAATCAACTCAAAGTTGGTATCATAAATCAATATAAACATAACATCAGATATCGCTCTAAATATAAATAAGTTTTTTTGGTTTCCATTTGATGAAGATAGCGTCCAGTTCATGTTAAATGATGAATCACACTGTCAGAAATGTTTCACTGCTTGCCTGTCAGTTTGTTCGTCGGCTCCCCTGTCTGTCTGCCAATTTTTTTGCCATCATGCTTGTTGGTCTGCCCTTATAGCCCTTTGTCTATCTGCTTGTTTATTTATCTGTCTGCCTGCCTACCTGTCTACTTGTTTCTTACTGTTTTTTTCTGTCGGCTTTTCCGTCTGTTTTCTATCTATTTACCCGCATGTCCTTTTTCAGTCTGTCTGTCTGCCTAATCATTATTTTATTTGTTTAAACCATATTTGAAAGTTTTATTGGAAATACTTAAAAATTGTTTAAAGTGAAATATTTATAAATAGGATTGTATGAAATGTAATAACTTTGATCTACTAGATAGCAATGATGATGTGTGATAGTGATCTGCAATATGATGGATGAAATTGTGTGTGATGTGGCGTGTGTGATGTGGTGTGTTGTGTCTACGACACGAAGATGTGTAATTTATTAAATAAGCAAATGGATATCGGTGTAAAAAAAATAAAACACGGTGGTGGTGATGTTGACCATCGATCAAATTCATTTGTTTTAGTTTTAGGAACCAATACCAAAAAAACAAATAAATGAAAATGAATAGATTGATGACATAGACTTATAACTTTTGATTCCACTGATATTATTTCTGAAAAAATCTTAATTACTCTCACTTTGAAAAAGCATAGTTGAGAGGCTCATTAGTGTAATGGTTAAGACGCCTAGCATTGGTGTTCATTATTGGTGTTCTAGTAGCCAGTTTCGACTGCAAAAAAGTCGCCTACCACTGCCAGTATATGTGATGCGTTGTTTCACGCGTCATTAGCACTTTCATAAATGTCATCATTATTGCTTATCATCATTTTCGTAAAAACCAACGTTACGGGTTGATGTGCTGTGTGCTTTCTTGTTGCTGTCTCATGAAAAACAGAAAAAGAGAATTGAATGCAAATAAAAAAATAAAAACAACAGTTGATGATATCTGTACCAAAAAAACTAAATTTGATAGCCACGACAAAACTTAACAATAAAAAACGCAATTATAGCGATTCACATTTTTCGACTCTCTTAATGACCAGTTGACCAATTGACCAGCTTTCATTATTTCTTTCCACAGAATTCTTTCTCACCAATTTTGCTGCTATCAAATTCATCGGATTGTTTTTCTTTACAGTGTTAAAATGATCTGCAATGTAACGTTAAATGGGACATTTTTTTTACTCAAGTGCACTATCATTATTACATTGCAAAAAATGTTAAGGTCTGTGTTGTTGACAAAATGTTTTCAAGGTCATTTTCTGTAAGCCACCCATGTTCTCGTCGTTATTATTATTATTATTATTATTATATTATTATTATTATTATTATTATTATCGTTATTATTATATTATTATTATTATCGTTATCAGTGTGTGTTGTCGTCGTAATCATCATCATCATCACCACCACCACTATCATCATTACCATTTTCATCATCATCTTCACCATCATCATCATTATTATCATCATCATTTCTTCATCTTTCTCATCATCCTCCTCATCATAATCGTCGTCATCATCATCTCTTCATCTTCCTCCTCATCATCAATACTGTGAATTCATTTTCTTAGAACGCTATGCATCTAATCCATGTTATCCAGCTTGGCCATAATTGCTCTCACCATCATTGTCATCGTAATGGCATTATCATCATCGTAGTCACAAATACTATCATCATCGTTATCATCATCGTCGTCGTCATCATCATCATTGCCATCATTATCAATATCATCATCATGGTTGTCATGATTGATGGCACTGACCACCAGGTGAAAAGATCTCCCTGGGCATCAGCGTCCTGTTGGCTTTCACAGTTTTCCTCCTGATGATCGCTGACACCATCCCGAGAACATCTCTCGCCATCCCACTCATTGGTTGGTTCGTTGGTGCTCGTCTTCATCCATTATTTTCATTTGATGGTTTTTATTTGTTATTTGTCATCTAACACCAGGGCGTCGGAATCTGATCAAAATCATCCTTACTCCGAGTCCTTGATTGGAAATTTTTCGACTTCGACTCTGACTGCGAATAAATATTTCCGCTCTCCTGACTCCGGGTTCTTATCGCCAAAATTTTTTTTTAACTTTTTATTTAACTTAAAAAATAGAATATAAAAAATGTTTAAAAAATATTTAAAATCAGTCAATATTATAATTTTTCTTAGTAAAACTGCTTAATATTTATGCTCTAAAAGATAATTAAGTGATTTTTCATTTCGATAATTGTGCACTGTTTATTGGTTGGAGTTGTACCAGAAGCGTAACTAATACCTTTGTTTTTTTATTTTAAAGTTTTCGAACAAGCGTTCCTTAACCTGCTATTGAAATATTTAAACTTGAACGGTTAAAAACCTGTTGTTAAATCCGGCCACAGATGTCTTCAATCTTCAGAGACAACATCACTGCAAATGTAATCATGGCTGCTTTTTGACGATGGAGGAACAAAAAGTGTCTTTGTTAACATGAGTCCTGAACGCCGCCTTCCATTGAGTTGGTCGCCGTCGAGAGAGTTTGTACCATGATTTTGACAGAACGACAATAGATTTATTTTTTGGAGCAAAGCAGCTGAAGGCTTTGTAAAGGGATGAATCATGTTGCACCAATTTAATGAGTTTCTCACTGGTTGAATGTTAGAAAAAGTATATTTTAAAACAGACGTTTTTATGCCAAAGCTACGAAAGGATTTTTTACCCGCCCTAGTGTTGATTCTCGACTGCACACAATTTCTTCACATTTGTGGATGTTTGTTAAAGTTCAAATTTTTATTGTTTTCCCTCAATAATTAAAAAAAATAAAAAATGGTAATATTTTTTTAAATAATCGGTTTAAAAATTCATTTTAAAAATGCGGAGAAGAAATTTAAATGATTGCTACTTGTATCTCAATCTGGTTTCAGACTTGCTCTGTCCTTTTTTGACTGTTTCTCCATCACTTAGGTAGTTCAGAGCGGATCTCAAGACCCATCAGTTTGCAATATTCACTGAGGAGCGCTGTTGAACATCGCAGAAATAGCGCTTGATTGATTGATTGATTGACAGTGGCGGATTTAGGAGGGGGGCCGGGTGGCCCACCCTCCGTTATCATCAGTTCAATTCAAGACAGCGTTAAATAATAAAAAAAAATTTTTTGAGATCGACTCTTTTTAACAATAAAAAATTACGCTGATTTATTATATAAATTTGATACAAGTTTATTTCAGAATATAATTCATATTTTAAACTTAAATAATGTTTTGCGGCACAAAATAAAATAATTCATGTTTTCTTAGTTTTTTTTATTGAAAAATATTATAACCTTTACTTATTTAGACTTTTCATAATTTTATGTTATGTTCGCAGTTCACATTTTATTCCATTTAAAATTTAGCGCGTCTTATATTATTTTTTTTGTGTTTCATAAAATCAGTTTTCATTTGAATTTGTTTTAAAATATAAAAAAAATGTCTTTTAAAAAAAATACTATTTTAAACTTTTTTCAACCGACTCCGGCAAAAAAAACAGAAGCAGTGCGATGATCTCAATACAGTTGAGGCCGTTTTAATGGTAATACCTAGATATTTCAATAAGTGCACATGAAATAATTTTGTTTTTTCAACTAAAAAATTAGCAATAAGCTGAATAATAAAAACATTTTTTGGGTTTGGGTTAATGCATACCAGTCATTACCCGACTAGACTTGAATTAATTTTGTAGTATATAACTAATCAGGCCTGGTAGGAAAATTAAAAAATTTAATCTCAACGTTTTTTATTCACAATTGTAGAATCTGATGTCTTGGAAGAAAGCTTTTCATTAAATTTAAACGATGACATGACTGAATGACTGATGTTTCAGACAAAACTGGTAATTCATGTCAGAGTTTTTCAAAAAAAAACAATACCTTTAAATATTAGACAATATGCAACTTCAGAAATCCCATGCATTTCGAATGATTTAAAATATGATCTTTTGAAAAATCCATAGAAACCCGAAAAGAGTTATAAATTTCCATTTGTGTTGGAAGGTAAAAGAAAACGGTTTTTTAAACTCCATTGGTTTCAAGAATTTTCCTAGCTGTCTTATTCTGATTTGAAAAAAGGAGCATTCTGTAGGTTTTGTGTATTTTATGCAAATCTACATCCATCATGTGGCTCAGTCGGAGTATTTGTTATATCACCTTAAAATCGTTATAAATCAGCTTTAGATCAATGTCACTGTCATCAAGCGACATCTTTTCATAGAGAGGCTACAGAAAAATCAGAAATGTTTCTGTGTTTGATTAAAAATAAAACTAATGTTTAAGAGTTATCAAACTCCGCTCTTTCCAGAAAAATAGAGCAAAACAGAAAATTGCTTAACACTATTATTGAAACTATTAAACTTATTATAGAACTATTAAACTTATAAAGAGCGCTATTAAAATACAGTACTGAATGCACAAGATCCGCCACTGAATGTATATATGTATTATACATATACATTCAGGATCGGATCTTGGGGTAAGGCCGGAGAGACCTTCCTCCAGCTGTGAGCAGTAATTTATTAAAAGAACTCAGCTTTTGCATAAAAAACACCATTTTATATCAAAAAAAGGTCGCCCGCCTAATTTTGGCAACGCTACCACAAATCTTGGACCCTGTCCAAATTTGAAAAAAATATAAACTTTTAAACATTTTTTAAATTTTGGCCCCCCCCCCCGTCAAAGGTCAAAGTTGTCTAGATCCGCCACTGTTGATTGACGTTGGAAACGGAGCAAGCCGACTCAGTATAGATTGCCAGCAGCCATAAACATCGAGGAGCATTTTTTATAATTCAGTCATTCTACAACACATACTAGTAGGGCAGGCTGCGTATTTCGTTTTCACGTTTATAACTTATTTACAAATTTGGTTAAAAATTTTATTCTGCCAAGTTTAAGTGATGTTTTGCAATTTTATTGAAAAATTTCTTTGTAATATTTTATATATTTCATCCAAAAAGTTATTTTTCAAATTTGGGTGGTTGCCAATTTGATTCAACATATTTTTGAAACATAATTTGAAAAAACCGACCGAGGAACCCGAACTGATGAAAGTGAATCACGAACATGCGTAGGACGATGCGATTTAAATGACACACAGCATTTGATTGATCGTCTGTCTGTGTGTCTAGCGCTGCACTCGTTTTGAATTTTGTCGAACGTTACAGACAGCCTACGAAGGAAATTGTTTTGAATTAGCCGTTAAAACGGTAAAGAATAATCGGGAATAAGATTTTATTTCATTAACTTTTTTGTTTCATAGAACGTTGCTTATGCTAAAATAAAATCATGTTGTGTAAAAAATTGTTGCTAATGTCTTCTGAAAAAATTTTGACAAAAAATAATTTTGAAAATTAATAATTTTATGTAACAACTCACATTGGTTGAGATTATGCTTAATATTCGGTGCTGTGTACAACATTTTTGCGAAATTTGTTAATTGCCAATTAGGCGAAATCAAACTACAGCATATGCTTTAGTTTACATGCCATGAAACATTGAATGAAAACAGTAATAAAATAAAAAATTTTATTTTTGGACGTAAATACTAATTTAAAAAAATTGATTTAACGCTGTTATATTTATTTTGAAAATTAAAAACACATGTGTTTTTTCATAACATTTACACGATTTTCGTATTTATAACAATCCATTTATTTGCATTTTTATCACAGATTTACTTTGATAAATTTCAAACAACAATACGATTTAATGACGATTGCTGTGATGACGTCAAAGATTGATGATTGCTGTGATCAAATGATTCTTGTGATGACATAAATGAATGATGATTTTTGGGATGACGTCAAATATATTTAATTAATTGAAATAAATATTGCTGATTTATATTTTGCTACATTGGCTACTTTTGTTACCTTCAAAACCATGATTAATTAACAGAATAATTTCTTCTTACTCAGTGACCTACCTCATGGTGACCATGACCTTGGGCACGCTGTCAATCTGCATGACTGTCCTCGTCCTGAATGTGCACCACAGAAGCAAAAAAGAACCGCCGCCCCAGTGGCTCCTCAACATCTTCCTCAACTACATCTCGAAAATCGTTTTCATGCGCTTCCACGTCCTGCCGGTGAGGTGCAGATGCGTGAAGTGTGCAGCGTGCTGCAGTAGTGACGACGATGATGAAGACGACGAGGTTGATGACGAGGGAGGAAATCATTCGAGGAACAGTAGTGAGAAGAAGAAAGGATGCCCCATTTTCAAATCGAGAACCGTTTTCATGAAGAAGGACAAGACGCCTGGTCTCTTGTACTGCCAGCGATATTCATTTGTTAAAAAGTATTTACATTTTAATTTGGCTGATTAATTTCTATAATTTTAATGTATTAAATTCATTTTTAATAAAAACAAAAATAAAATTTATTCTTGAATGAATTCTGATATTATTTAGATTAAAAATTTAATGACATTCACATTATTATTTTGAAAATATAATTAAATAAGGAAATAAAAAATATAAGAACATATCAACTGCCGCTTGCAACAGACCACGTGACGTCACTCCCGACTCGACGACGAACGACGATGTTGGCAGCGGGGATGTCACGTGCTTCCTGCGCTGCTGTCCAGCCACCAGCAACGAGGACACAAAATTTGTTGAAAACAGTATCGAGTCTATGAATTTCAGCAACAAGATGTTGACCAGCCAGGTTGGTCCATCAGCTGTCTATATGTACAACGAGTGCACGAAATTGAACAAAAACGTGCCGGGAAAAAATGAGCAGCACCTTCAAAGACGACCACATCGTAAT